AGATATATACTTAAATGTTAATGCATAAACAAATACATTTATTAACCATTGTAGTTTAAATTTTTAACATCCAAGCTGAACAAACTTAAAAATATATATCAATTAAAAGCATATAAACCGAAATGACAAAAGTAAACTAAAAACACGGAATATTATAAAAAGTATATTTGCATTTTCTAATTTTCTTCTTTAAAAGCTTCTTTATGGTATCAATATAAAAACAAGGACCGGAAGGGAAGTATCGGATTTAATCGGCGGCTAGGGTCCACGAATCGCCAAGACGGAAGGAATTTTGAGGTCCAAAGCGGCGTACCTCGCGCAGATCATCAGAATAATTTGTTTTACATGTTCAATTTACTTGTGTTTCTTAAAGATATGAAAACTAAATCAATATCAAAGTTTATACTGTATCTACTTTCATATCTCACATCACTGTCATGTATGTACAAATGTGTATATGTCGTATGACACGGAGAACTCATAGTAAAGAGAACATATGTGTTTGTTTCGGATCATTTTGAATCGTTAGTGGTGTATAATTATAAGTCATTCAAACGATTATAATATATTTTTTCCTTACTTATACTTATTATATAATGACATATAAAAAGTTGTAAAATGTCCAGTGACATCATGGATACTGCTCGTTCCATAGAGATAAAAGATGTAGAGAGCTGATTCCCTTCATCCGTATTTTTGTGTCCAATATAAACAAAGTATATGTACTACGTCATCGTAACCTGATCATAGAGATAGAATCTATCTCTATGATCAGCTTACGATGACATAGCACAAATTACTTTGTTTATATTGGACACACAGAATACAGCTGAACGATATTTCTCTGCTATTGACGGGAATCAGCTCTATATATCTTTATATCTCTATGTTCTTTACCAATGAAGAGTTAGTTATGAAATGTGATGACGGCACTGAACAGTTAGCAATGTTTAGTCCTCTTTGTCTACTCCTCAAGTTTTATGTCAAGTATTTTTTGCTCACCGTTGTTTTAAAGCATTGTCACACGCCTACAAGGACCCCTCGTTATTATTTGATACATATAACAGAGCCTCGGAAGTATATTAATGAGAATAAATGGTTAGACGTCCAATGATATCAATAAATGTTATCAAATATTCTGTATTTTATAATGAAAAACTATCGATGACGTCATTGGATATTTGCTTTTATTTTAATATGTTGTTAAAAAATAGGTTGCTTGAAATAAATTATGATGGAAATTAAGACATTTAGTTATGGAGGCTTCCTCTTCAGATGTCTAGTGTTTCTTGTCCAGCTTTAACTTTAAGAATCCACAAATTTTGGGATCTCCCTTACAATTCCTTGCTCTAACAAGAGGAACATAAATAAATATTACAACAACTACAGGAAGGACAGATATAGAGATATTATGTAACTCCTGAGGAAACATATATAGGAATAATCTACAGGTCGTTCTCTAGTTTCCCATATTCTCCTTCTTCACAGAGGGGGGAAGCAATTTAGCATAAATTATAAATTAAAGCAGAAAGAAATATAAAATGAAGTAAAAGAGGAGGTTGTATAATTAGATTTCTTTTCTTCCATGACGTTTATGGTCAACTTTGCTTTGAGCAATCTTCTCTGTGGCTCTTATATATAATATGCATATTATTTGTGGTCCATCAACTAAAAGTCAATAAAAATTCAATAAAAATGAGTTACCTTTTGGAACATTATATTTTTGATACATATTTTTTCCGTTCCTTATTTACAACCCATGTGATCCATTGAATAAAGTTTCTATGGGTATCCAATCCCATTACATGGCTTCAGTTGAATTGACGTCAGTTATGGACCAATTAACAAAAACCTTCGTCACATTCGATGTTGAATAAATAGCCATACTTCATTACAAGAAATTTACATACAACAAAAAAAAACCAACAAAATTTTTTTACAAAAGATTTGGTTTCCTAGTTCAAGCTAGCTAACTTTAAAATACATTTATGTCCTATGAAAAACGAACCTTTTTAGGAATAAGTGCGGGGTTTGATGCGAAGCTGGATCTAAACCAACAGTTTAACATAAATCTTCCTGACTTTTCAATGAAAGGTATATATATATATATATATATATAATATATATATATATATATATATATATATATATATATATTATATATATATATATATATATATATATATATATAATATCAGGAAACGTCCCAGGTACACGGCCTGTTTTTCTAAAATTCTAAAAATCACCGGCCAGGACTTTAATATTTTGTTCGTTCGTCATTCTGAAAAAGACTTTTTTTCAACGTCCACTACTTACTTTTATAAAATTATTTTTTTATTTTGAAGAATTATTTCCTAAAAAAACGTCGTCACTTTCAGAATGACGAAGGAACAATATATTAAAGTCCCGGCGGAAAAAATGTCCCAGGCGTTTCCTGATATATATATATATATATATATATATACTATATATATAATATGATATATATATATATATATATATATATATATATATATATATATATATATATATCTATGCATCAATGAACCTGAAAGCTAAACTATAATGATGGTGACATGATTCAAACTAAGTAAAAGCGTTCCATTGATATATATAAAACATTCATACTTTTGTGTTGATTCAGCACAAAGGCTTAAGTACTCTTGCGTAAAAAAAAATCCTCCTTATTTTCCTTCGAAATTGGATCCTACAAGATAATAAATATTGACCCATATAATTTGAAAATGATACCTTCATTTCCATGGGCATCCAACCATGTAATCCTCATAACCATAGAGTCATAAGTTTCTTTTGTTCTTCTTTTATGAATGGTTGTCGCAGTCCTCTTGGCCAATGGAGTGAAGCCGGAGTAAAATAAAGGGGTTTTATGTAGATTAAAGACTTACTATTTTCTTCATTGTTTATTATTATTGTTCTTTTTCTGACAAGTAAATGGAAAAATATAAATTCTTATGAAAATGAGGCTTTGATGGAACATAAAAAGAAGACAGAAGATATTTATAAGAATTTGAATTTAAGAGGGAGTTGTTTTTTAATACCGCTGTCAAGAGGAAAGGGCATTGCTTCCTAGAATGATGGGAGGGCAGGGATTGGAATGAGGATGGAATTGGGTTGAGGCAAGAGTGGCCTTAAAGTAAGAACTATATAAACTTGTTTTTTAGAAGAAAAGTATGATAACAAACGTAGATGAATTAAAGTGTTATGTATACGATTCGTATAAATGATATTCTTGTTATAAAGTTAGACTTCGTTAGATTAAAAAACACTTACAGTTGTAGAAAGATGAATGCGTAAATTATTTGACTTTTTATCGTACAAAAATAATGTATACGAAAAGTAGATAAACATAATATAGGACAATTTTGTACATTTGGCTTTATGTTTTAAAACTAATCATTTATATATATATAATTTAATATTATAATATATAAATTTACATATAGTATATAATATGGTGTGTTTGTTACTACTCTTGACAAATAAGCAAGTATAACCCTCTTTACAATTAAAAGTTGTAGTATAAGTAATACAAGCAATTTACTTATAATATAAATTAGATATACTTTTAAAAATATTAGTCTATAAACAAGTGCTTAAAAATGGGCAATGGAAAAAAGCGAATTTTTTTATGAATTATACGTTTTATATGATTATTTTTATATTTTACTAGTCTTGTGCCAAAGAAAAACTGTATTCAGATCTCTAAGGAAATATGTGTTCATACTAAGAAAAATCCAAAGAAAAGTCAATAAGCCAGTGATTAAGATTACAATCCAGCGAAATAGGGCAAATCTCCTAAGCCCCATCATCAACACTAATTATGTCGTTTTAATCGTTTAATTTAGTTTAAACTATTTCACATGCTTATTTTTTCTTTGTTTCACTCGAATGATTCATTATACATATGTATATTATATTTCTACACTAATGAAAACTGTTAAATTCACATCTCTTGTTGAAATATTTATGTTACCATTGTTATAAAAGATATCTGCATAAACAGCTTTTATTTTATAAATATATCTTATAACTTATTACATAGAAAAAACACTTTTGAATTCTATTTGTATTGATATTTAATTGCAAAAATATATAATTTTTTATAACGAGTGCCTCGAGTCTTCTTATATCCTTTACTTATCTATGTGTGTACATCTTTATGAGACTTGTTGATTTGTCGTTCATTTGTAATCGTTCGTCGTTCATCAATTTTTGACGAACGACAACAAAAATTCCTATCATTCGTTGTTCGTTTTGGCGCCAAAAAAAATAAAGATTTCTTTCTTTCCTTTCTAAAAAAACGTCGTCAATTTTTTTCAGAATGACGAACGATTCAATTTAAAATAACAATGAACGATAACTTTGGGAACGACGAACACATTTTTTCGCGAACGTCAACAAGTCTGATCTAATTTTTTTGAAGCAAGAAAAAATAGCATTTCGACTTATTTGAGTCCAAGAAGTATTTTGCAAACTTGTAAGAAAGTAGGCACGAGTTTAACTTTGTTTATTAGAGCATTTTTGCGTCAACATTTTGTCACGCATGTTTTATTGGGCCTCCCGCTTAAGTGCCTTTAATATTAAGAGGGAAAGAAGAAGTCTTTTGGGAAGCCATAATTATGGCCAGAAATGATGAGAGAGGAAAGAAAGAAAAACACTGTAAGTAATGGGAATAAAAGTGTAAGTAGCCTAATAGAAACGTATTTATTTCGTACGTGAAATAATTTAGGATCTTTTTCTCTCACTCATTGCCAAAGATTTGATATTGACTTCTACAACTCAAGAAATATATTTTTTACTACTACTTTAAATCTTAACCTAATCAAAAAACCATGAGATTGACTTGAGAAAAAAAACCATGACTTCAGGCTCTTGAAGAAGTAAGAATTATATAAACAATATTATACAAAATGGATCCCATTTCTACATTATTTATATTGAAATGAAAGCACATAACAGAAAAAAGGATGAAAAAAATATGCTCCAGGCGAGGCTCGAACTCGCAACCCCGGCATTCCTCAAATACTGTCTATAAGTACCGTGCGCTAACCGATTGCGCCACTGGAGCTCGATGAAGAGAGAGAAGGAAAAAAACTAGTGTGTACTTTCTCTATTTAAATATATATAATGAAACTTGCTTTATCATTGAGGGAGAGAAGAAGGAAACATCATAACACTATAAATAAACGAATATTTGCGCAGACCCATGTTTTGGAGTTTATGCTTGTGTTCTTTTTCTTTTAGCTCTCTGCATGCGAGAGTGTGTTTTATTAGAGGTTTATTTTGCAATGTAATGTAAACATTGATAACCTTCTGACATCATTAAAAAAACTATTGAGGATATGTGAGTCATGGGGCAAGAACTAAAGTTTTACACAAGGGGGCAATTTCAAGATTTATATGTTTGAGAGTTTTGTAGTAAATAAACAACGAAGTAAAATATACGTAGTTGGAAGTAATGATGGAAACATCATAAATATTACGAATATATTGACGTCATCAAAAAATATAATATAGTTATTGTTTTCCCGCTTGCGGGTGGTTTTTTAATGACGTCACACCAGCAAGCGACAAGTAAGTTTTTATTCAATATTTCTTGCAGAAAACATGCTATTCATATATGAAATGGATTATACAAAAAAGCAAGTATATAATTATTATTTTGACGTCATGAAAAATATTTTAATGTTTGTTATAATGGCTTGCTGTGGTTCTTAATGACGTCAAATTGGAGAGGGAAAAAGTCAGCTCTTTTGGCGATATGGACATACCTTGTATTTCAATATAACTTACTATGAGGAATGTAAAACAATCTTTTCATAGAACCACTTGAGTAAAACTCTACAGAGGTCAAGCCAATTGGCATAATCAACACTACAAATTATATGATAATCATATTATAGACTCTTTATATTTATGATTATTTCAAAAATCATGTTATCGTCTTCTGGTATGTGCAAGCTTTAGCTACCCAAACATTTGACTACAATGTCTAGAGAAGAGTTCGAGGGGGAATACCCAAAACAGTCCCAAATTCTGTGGTCGCGTTGAAGGCCTCCATCAACCGTGAGGCAAGGAACATTGATCCTGTACATATCAGCAATATCTGCTCCTCCATCAGAGTGCGATGTTATTTTCAAAATGACCATAAAACAGTTTTATAATATAGCCGCTTAAGATGCTATTATTCATGTAGTCTCAAACAAAGACAAACTATCTTTTAAAAAATTGTACACCAGTACAACAATTTTATTCTCATATATATCTACAACAAGACATTACCAACAAAACTTTCAAAAAATCAAACTTTATAATTAAATTTAACTAAAACATTAACATTATAAACTGTAGGGGGAAATTTTTAGGGGGGCTCTTAATATATTGTGAAAAAATAAATTGGATTAATAAAAACCATTTAGTAAAGATACAATGTACAAAGGACCGCAATTATGTCAATAGTTTTTTTATTGTTCTATCGACTATTTCTATAAAACTTGGGGGTATGGGGATTCTTTCTGTTCGCAATTGAATATATAAAGAACGGCGGTCTTTGCCAATGATAAAATTAACTTCTTCCTGATGCAGGCCGGTACTAAAAGAAAACAAAACCTTGTACGCCCGCAATTGTAATCTAAAAACTCGTTAAAAAATATTTGAAGATAATTAAAACCACCCCTATCTGGGTACACTAAAAGGAAATGTTTTGATGTCTCCAAACAGTTTTAGCAAAAGAAAAATATCTTTCCATAGATACTGCCAAGGGTAAGGGTATTTGATGTTAAACTATATTTGTCATAGCACACAAGATGACTATTCTGACATTTTGTAAAATGGAGAACGGTTATACGATGGTGATGTGTATCTAATGTATAGATGGTCCAGAGGGTCATACAGAGTCTGTTTAAAGGATGTAGGAGAGAAAATAGGACAGTTTCTCTCGTTGAGAGAAGCTTTGTTTTTTATGATACATATATATATTTTAAGGGAACATCAAAATATTTTTCTTCTCTCTTTTCTCCGAGGAAAGAAGACTCTCCCCTTCTTCTTGAAATTGTTATGACTACAAAACGCCTTCTCAAGGCGACAAGACGCATCAAATTATACCCCTTTAGATACTCCAAAAATGAGTGTACATATTATTATTATTACTTTATTTTTTAGGTCTCCTTCTTTTAAACAAAAAAATAAAAATAAACACAAGACTCCTTCGTCTCTTAAGAATATCCTCTTAGAAAACTGGCGTTTTTTTCACAAAATAAAACACTTTGCTCACCCTCCTCCTTTTTCGAAATATTATGGCGGGAAAAATATATTTTTTTTTTAATGTGTTGTGTAGGAATGCTTTATTAGGATCTCTTCATTTCATCGGGTTTAAAAGGTCATAACTTAGGTCCTACTAAGGTCTGTATAATAAGTCTGGGCAACACAAAAAAAACATGTAGCAGTGTGTGACTACTCAATGACGTCACTGGAGAACGA